TAGGTTAAAAAGTCTTAAAAGGCTTCACTTCATAAATATTAGAAAAACGAGACGGTGGGGAATATGGAAAGTATATTTTTTAAGGATTGTCTTTGGAATGAAAAACAATTCTGGAATCGGGTTTTAAGATAAAATATGTCAATTTAACGGCTCAAATATTTTTGTTCCAACAAGCAATTTAGATATCTTCACGGCATGGAATACAGTTATTTTTATATTTAATTAACCCCAATATTTTTATGACATAGAATTTTAATAAATTATAGGAAAAATGGTAGGGGAGAAGCAGCTTCTGCATGAACGGGGGAGGGGGGTGATAGGAACAGTTTGCATCCTATTTTTGAGGGGGGGTAGAGGGTAGGCATCTTTAAAGGAGGTAGGATAAATTTATTGGGGGGTTATCTATTATTCTTTTAAATCATTTGTGCCTGTTTTCTCTTACAGCTATATTCCAGTATGTGTAGGTAAAATTCATCCTTGAATTTAAGAAGCAGTGAACCACGTGACAATGATATCAGGCAATTACACGACATATTTATATTGCATGATTACGATAATTATTCTAAGTGGTAACCTATATAATATTACAAGTAGCATAAACTCAATTTTAATTTATTAAAAATATGCGTATTAAAATCAGAAGTTGTGATTGGCTGTCAGTAGCTGGGGGGGGGTCAGCTTAGAACCCCCTCCTCCTATAGCAAATTTTTTTTATATTATACGTTCAAAAGTCTCAAAAGTGACTTTATATAAAATAAATACCATGAATATTTATTTTTTTCTGGTTTTGATGCCGTTTATTAACACTAATTAAATTGATCAATAATTCTAGGACTTTTATATTATAAGAAAAACAAGTATGATTTTTAAGATAAAAGGGACGAAAGCCTGTTAAAGGGGGGTCTGGGGGTGAAGCCCTCCAGGCTTTTATATGTATGAGCCTCTAAGGAAAATTCCTAGCTCAGCCTCTGGCTGTAGTAGGCGTTAATCTAAATGCCTATCAATGGCTCACATTAGTTTAATTATACACATATTGACTGCAATATAATGAACGAATGAATTCAGAGGTCTAGATTAGTATTAGTGTCATAGGTTATATTTATTAATGCATAAAAAACTAAATAAACTTATGAACAAATTACCCTTTAAACAATAAAGTTTTTTTTTTAATAATAAACTGAGGAAATTATTTTATTGATATCAAATATTATTATATAAATAAAAAATTTTCAAATAGTCTATGGGACGGAAGAGAAAAACATAATGGTGTTTTTCCTGGTCTTAGGCTTGAGCTTGCTCGTAATGTATTTATTCAATGTTTACGTGTGGTACAAAGATAAAAATGTTCAAGCCTACGAAAAAGCTAGATTACTAGGTTTGAATTTATAAAACAATCGTTATTCAAAAAAGTAGAAAGGGTGGCTGAATCCAATTTTAAGCGTGCCCACATTATTTCCCCTCTGAGAAAAGTCTCTTTTTCTTTTAGTATGTGTTCAAATACCACAGGTTTTATTCCTCTTATTTTTAAGCATACTTTTGACGTTAATGGATTGTACTGAGAATTGATATAACTATAATAAACGGTCTCTAACCTTTATGATTTCGGTTATTTGAATCTTTTAAGATTGGACAAATTTTTGGTAATTTGTTCTTGAAATTTAAAGGGAAACTTTACACAATCTGGTTATAGTAAATGACGTTTTGAAATACAAAATATCATTCATTGTAAGAAAACGCGAAAAAATTTTTTTTTTTTTAAATTATCCTAAAATTAGTTATAAAGATATGAAAATTTTGAAACTGGACCACTGGAAGAAAATTCACACAGTAAAACCAATGAATGAAAGAAAGACTATCAGTACGGATTTTTACCAAGTTATGGAAACTAATCAAGTCAAAAATGATTATCAATGTAAAAGATTATGAAAACTACGAAGAAATATCTTGATTGATTAATTTTTTTAAAAAATTAATGTAAATTTTATAAATTTGTAATATTTATACTTGATATTTAAATGTAAATTGCTAATGTGAACCATTTTTAAATATAGATGGGAGATAGGACGAACTATTATGAATTACATTTATTTCATATTCTGAATAATGAAGAAAACTTTGATAACATTTTTTATAATATTTACTATATACAAAAATTAATTTTGAGTGAATTTTTTCATTAAAGTAATGTTTTTTTTAATATTATTCTCAACCTGAACTATTTTCGGTTTTCCCAATCCTACAGATATAAATAATAATGATGATAAAATACTTGAAGGAACTTTAAATATTAAACTATAAGGCAAAACAAAGGTATTTCTCAATTTCAATAGTTATATATTAGTTTATATCATTAACTATGTTAGTGGTCCAGGTAATTCTTGCTTCCCAAGTTTGTCATTTTACCCCTTCACATATTATCACCGAATTAGTAAATTGTTCTAATCAAATCTTTTATATAAGCAAGAAACCCTGAACTAAATATATTCGACAGCCTAGACATTGTAGATTATATCCTATAAATTTCATTGAATTTTAAAAAGTATCATCTTAAGATAAGAAATACCAAATATAAAAATTAATGAAAAGTGAAATAAACATTGTTTTGAATCGATATATATTGAATGAGGATCTAGGACTACTAAATAAACATATAGTAGATATATTATGTATGAAATTTCTCTTTTTTTAATTATTAAATTCGAAATAATTAGCTCTAAAAATTAAAAAGTGCCTTTTTAACCTAGTTACCCTTTAACCCGGGTCATTTTGGTTCATGAAAAATAATTATATAGCTTCAGTTCGAACCTTTAAGGATAGGGTTGTTACAAACTTATTAAAATTTTGTAAAGTAAATCACATTTTTAAAAATTATATCCAAAAAAAATAATTATCAAGCCTTCAAATATTTTCAAGATTATGTTAAATTTTATTTATTATGGCTGAGAACACCTAATCCTGGTTAGCTGAAATTAGTGATGTTAAATCACCCAACTTTGACCAACTCCAATATGGCTTGGTCAATATTATTCCCAAAAAATTGACTTACAGGTTTAAGTTTAACCTCAACCTACTGGTAGTGACTATTTTTTTTATATTGGCCAAATTTAGATGGTTTAACAACACTATCCTGGTTAGCTGAAGAAATAATTAGAATAGTATTACAGTTAATAGTCAGGATATCAAAAAGCTCAAACAGATTCACAGCTCATTTTTTAGGTTCAGGTGACTAGGAAGTTTTCTTTTAGGTTGAAAAATAAACGGTTAAAACTGGTTTAAAAAAAAATTTACTTCATGAATAATATTTGTATGTTTCAAAATTTTGTTAAAAAGATTTTTCAAATCAGGTTTCTAATTATATTTTTTTAAAAAAGAATATATAAATTTTATAGATAAGATGATTTTTAGGTTGCTTCCAATAGAGGAATTTGTCGATATTACTTTTTTTTAAAGTAAATACAAACACTACAAAGCATGAGGTTACAATTTAAACCTATCACTGCACCCCAAATTCATTTTTTTTAGATTTTGCTCGTTTATTTACACCAAAATAAATTTCTCTGAAAATTTTGAAAACATTCACTGATTTCAAATACTCAATAACATTTTTAAAAATAAAATAAATTTTGGATTCTTCCAACAGAGAAGAGAATTTTTTTTAGTCCGTAGTTTACTGGATATAAATATAATTCCTTAAAAATTTTTTTTGATTTATAACATATTAAAAAGAAGAGAAACTTTTAGAGAGAAAACTTATTTGAGATTGTTAAATTACCTAACTTTGGCCATCTCTGTTGTGTCTTAGTAAACCTTTTAGATTAAAAAATTGATAGCTTCAAAGTTGAGTCTCAACTTGAAGATTGATTAGAATATTTCTAGATAAAGATGGATACTCTGTTTTTTGGTTGACTAAAAATAGTTAGTTTAACAACACCATATTGAGATAATATATATTTTTTTAAATTCCATTTATAAATATAGAAAATACAAACTCGTCGAGTTAATTTTATAATCTTGCCATTGAGATCATAAAAGTCTTCAAATGTAAATTACGCGAACAAAGAAAAAAATATTTATATGAGAAAAATACATCTCTTATAAATGAACAAAGAAAACAAAAATATAAATGGTAATATAAAAAAAACATATCACTAGAACAAAATATAATAATAATAATTATAAACTAGTTAAAACACAACAGTTGATAAAGATTTTTAATTATTTACAATTGTTTTGGCAAAAATTAACATACAATAGACCGGTAAAAAAATTTTTTAAAATTGTTACATTTAAAAAATGATAATTTAGTTACAGTATCTGCATTATCAAAAATAAGATTATAATGTTATTTAAATTTCTTTTCACAGTTTTGGAAAGCCATTTTTACAGTGTTAAATGTATATTTTATCTATAAACTAGGCTCGAATTTTTTCGCCATAGCCAATTCAAGCTAAAAACCTAGGCCGATTATTTATTTATTAAAAGTGTAACAAAAATTCTAGAAGTATTCCCATATTAGTTGAGAAAGATTTTCTCCATTATCTAAAATTGTTTTGGCAAATATTAACATTCAATTAGATAGACCGGTAAAAATTTATTTATTATTGTTATATTTAAAAAAATGATTATTTAGTTGTAAGTAAAAAATAATTATTTTCTGCATTATCAAAAATAAGTTAATAAATGTTACTTGAATTTCTCTTCAAAGTTTTGGAAAGCTATTTTTACAGTGTAAAATATATATTTTATATTTACCCCGATGAAGCTAAAAACCTAGACCGATTATTTATTAAAAGTGTACATACATTAAAGTCAGCAGTAATCAATGTTATTGGCCGTAGCATATATTTGGACACCTCTTTAACATTTTAATGAAAAGCTAGAATTCTTTATTTACTGCACGGCTCAACTATTATTTTTCTTTTTAAATCAGTGCTAAAAATATTTTTGCTTGTAGCATTAATTTAGAAGGTTTCAAATTGATATTGAAAATATTAAAACCTCCGTTATATAATTTCCCAACTAGTGGTATTAAACGGCGTCTCAATTTTACCCGATTTTTAAAACGGCTAACTCAGTATTTTATCCAGAAAGATATCACTCTAGTCTAAAGATTTTTCTCATAGATGGCACAAAGGACTAGAAATCTATTAGCGAAATCTTGTTAGGCAATATTTTTTTTGGCTAAAATATAAGTTAGCCGTTTTTAAAAATAGGCCCTTTAGCAACACTATTCGCAACTGAATGATTGTATTTTAATATTTGTTCTTTTCAAATCGGCCCGAGGTTTGTAAAATTTTAAGACCCATCCCGCCCCAGTGTAATTTTTTAAGACAATTTTGCTCTCCGATTCGTGTTATCCTTGGCAGGTATGCAAATCATTGATAGATAATTTTTGAAAAAAATTACTTAAACTTTCTTTTAGATAATGGAAAATTTTCAATTATTTGACAAAGACTTGTCAATAGGAGAAAGTTTATTCTTAAATTCGTACATGTCTGATGTTAGATTTGAGGTTAAATAATAATATTTTTTTTATCTTAATATATATAGAACAAATTGTATTGAATATCATTGTCTTACTTTGAATAGGTGGAGAAAGAAATAATCCATGCGCATACATTTATTCTATCATTTAAAAGTCAAATGTTTCATACCATGTTCCATGGCAGTTTGAAATTGAAAGATAATTGTGTAAAGGTTGAAGATCTAAGGAAAGGCGTTTTTAAAATAATCCTGAAGTGATTTTCTATATATATAATATAATTATTTCTAACAATATCTAAAAAAGATATATATATACCAATGAAGTTTGTAATATTAATTCAATCGACATTGACTCACTGTTAGAACTCTTATATGGTGCAAAAAAATATATGCTTAAGAATTTGATCGATATGTGCATTGAAGAAATAAATGTGTCCAGGTGTTATTATATAGATAGTGAAATTGCGTTAAAAGTATATTTAGCAACAGCTATACACCCAGAAATCAATATTTTTAGTTATTTCTCTGTAAAATTTTTTTTATACACTGTTTTATAAGATATTAATTTTTAGATTCTTTTGAGAAATGAAAGTTTCGTATTTGATTCGGATGCTTTCCTTAACGCTCCTATCCATATAATAAAAAAATTTATCGAGTCTTTACCTAATGGAAGATCGACATCGAATCTCTACATTTCGGAATTTCTTATCAAATTCGCAAAAAATAAATGCTGCAAATGCCAGATTCCGGATGATTCAAAGAACGATTTATGTAAATTATCCCATAAAAAATCCCCACTTTTGGAATTCGATCTAGTAGACATGATTCAATTGGTTCGTAGACAAACATTATTAGAGGACACCGAGATACTCAACATTGTGTTAAAATGTTAAAAAAATTTCCCCTCCCCCAAAAAACAAATGATTATTGACTTTACTATGAATACTCCGATATTGAAATTTATTCGCTATTAGTAGAATTGATAATAATCATGTATAATTATAAAATTGTGAAATAATAAATTAAATCACATGATGATAATATTTTAAAATATAAATACAAAAACACATTTATTTTGTATGGTTCCTTAATAAAATGTTTATAAAATTAATTTCTATATATAGCACCACCAAACAAGTTTCTTATGGATTAATCAACTTTGTTACGTTATAAATAAAATTTTAATATGTATATATTTAGAAAAATGATGAAGTTAAATATCGAGAAAAGGGAAGGTTTAAAAAAAATTGATATTTCAATCATCCATTTTTTAAGGAAAAAAGATACAGGCAATATCTGACTAAATACCAAGGACAACCAGTAAAACCCTGGCCAGGCGCTTATAAATTATTCTTTCGTAGGATATATTTTTTTTTACAAAATAAAACAATTATTAAAAAGCATTTTCTAGTTAATGAAAATGGATTAATAATAGAGGGGATGGGTGGGGGAAAGAAAGGTAGGAGCGCCTTGCGCCTTTAATGGCATTGGCGTACGCAGCGGGAGGGGGGCAGAGGAACAAATCCCCCCCCCCCCAAACCCCAAAAATGCAGATGCCGGATTATATTTTTCAAAAATATTATTGTTAATATTTATTCCTATCTCATATATATATAATTACATTTATTTATCACATTCATCTACTAAGTTATTTTATCAATTAATTTTTATTTCAAGTTTTCCTTGGCGTTATTTACCTATTATTATCAAATTTTAGTGGCCTAATATTTAACAAAATTTCTAGTCAAATAATAATTATCTCTGAAACTCCTTGTCCAACAGGGAGAAATAAATTGCAAGCTTGCCCAACGAGATCGAGTCTCCGCCATCAAGCAGTAACAGCTTTTATGGAGTTAGAAGAGCCGATTATTAATGCTATTACTGAAATATTACAATGGCTTGAAAGAAATATTTCCTCAGAAGCAAGAAAATTATTGGATTCAATACTTATTCCAAATTTTTTTTCTCATTAGAATGTATTATTTAATTATACGTATGTAATACTTTTCAAAAACATAACAGACTTGATTAAGAAGATGAGAATAGCGGAGAGAATTTTATTAGAACTCAAGGAAATCAGAGCTAATGTTGATGAAGAATTTCATATTTTATATGTTATTGTTGAGTCAAAAGCAGAGCTATACGTGTTTAATATTTGCCCCCCCCCTCGACTTGCAGCAAGCAAGCTCATCGTCAAAACATTAATATAGGATCAGTAGAAGAGTATTATAAAACAAATGTCCCCTCTACCAACCTTTTTCATATGGTGATAGAAAAAAATATAAATATTTGTTAGATTTTTATCATGAAGATGTTAAATTATCTTATGATGCCTTATTAGCTGAATAACTAGGATTAAAAGATTAACTATGGTTGAAATAGTCCCAAAAAATGCTATGGATGCTTTGCATTATTTCAAACACATTTTAGATTATACTCCTAATGTAGTGTTCGCAACGGTCCGGTCCAGTCCGGTCTTATTAGACTTTTCGGTCCTATGGGACGGTCCCGTCCAACAACACGGTCCGGTCTGACCGAAGACCGATTAAAGAATATAAAAGTTTACTATAAAAAACTTTATAGTTAATGTGTATGTATATGAACATATAAAATATGATTATTTAATGCCTAACACTTTATAATATCTAATTCATCGTTTACTTTTTATATTCTTCCGTTTCATTAAATTAAATATTCATAGTTTACTTTTTATATTCTTCTTTGATTAGGCATTTGTGTATAATATAATAAAAATGAATTGATGATATAATTGAAATATTATAGGGTAGTTTAACTATTCATTTTTAATAAATTTAAATGCAGAATAAAACTTTTGTAGCTTTATAAAAATTTTTTTTAGGTGAGACCGGACCGCCTGGACCGGATCGACGGTCAGATCTCATTTGACTTAACGGTCCATCGGTCCGGTCCCATTTTAGAAAAAAAAGACCCGACCGGACCGTTGCAAACACTATCCTAATGTATTAAAATGATTATATATATTAGCAGCTCTTTAGTAAACTAATGAGAGAACATTATCTTTTTTAAGAAGAATAACAGAACCTTGCAGAGGTACCATTTGCAGGACACGGCCCAGATTTTTTTTAAAAATTTTTTCCGGCCCGGGTGTTTTTTTTAAAAAAAATTAAGGGCCCGGCGGGGGTATATTCAAAAAAATTAAAATACGATCCGGCTCGGGGGCCGGGCCTGCATGTCTGTGAAAAACATACCTATGAAATACAACATCTGAAAGTAGATTGAATGATTTGGATTTTTTGAATATTCATAGGCATTTAACGCCAAGCAAGGGTAGATAATTGAAAAATTAGCTCAAAACATACAAAATACAATTTATTTGATTGACCAAATTTTTTTAGTAATATTAATTGAAAAATGTTTAAAAACCAAAAATTAAGAGATTTTGATCAATAAAGCCATCAATATATGCCTCACAAGTTTTCAAATATTTTAAAATTCTAAACCTCCTCATAAATTAAATATCAAAGTAACCTATATATTTTTTTTTAATTTTTAGGTTTTCCACATGTATTTACACCCAAATACTAAAAAAAAGCGTTATCCAATATTCATTCTGGGCTCCTAAGATGATATATCCTTGTTTATGCATTTAACGCCCTCTTATGGACATATATTTGTTAAATTTTTAAACTAAAAATAAAATTTGAGATGTAAATAAATTTTTTTTTTTTTTTACTTTCCATTTATAACATTACTTATATAATCTCAATATTCTATATTTAAAAGAATTGATTTATGTGTATTAAAAAAAATATTTTTAAATAAGATTATATAATAAAATTATTCATTATGATTAATTGCTTTTTACCAAAGGCAATAGTTGCTCATATAAATAGCTAATATTTGCTTATCCTAACTTAGTAGCATTCAATATATAGCATACGCTTTTTAAAATTTTTAAATGATATACATTAGAGATCTGCAAAGCTCGACTCCAGCCCGAACGGGCGTCGGACTAAATTTATCAATTTATATTATACCAAAAATTTCTCAGAGTTTCAGTGACTTTTATTATACATTAAATTTTCTTGATTAATTAATAAAATTGCTGCAAATAAATAATATAATTTGAAAATCATTTGGTGGTGGAGTAAGAAATATGCCAATCGAATTTGTTGGCTTGCAAAGCTCAAAATTAAGAAAGTGGAACATGTATCTCATTTAGTGTTAAATTTTTTATAGATATGGGACACCCAGATGAACTACATAATGTCGTGGTATAAGGTACGGAAAATTATGAATAATTCGTAAATAGCTTAAAAAAGTCTTAAAAGCCTACACTTCAAAGATATTAGGAAAAGGAGATGGTGGCGAATATGAAAAAGGATATTTTTTAAGGATTGTCTTTGGAATGGTAAGCAATTTTGGAATCGGGTTTTAGAATAAAATATGTCAATTTAGAGAAATTATTAACGGCTCGAATATTTTTATTCCAACAAAGCAATTTAGATATCCTCACGGCAAGAAATGCAGTTATTTTTACCTTGAATTAACACCAATATTAGTATGACATAGATTTTAATAAATTATAGGAAAAATGGTAGGAGAGAAACAGCTTCTGCATGAACGGGGAAAGGGGTAAGATGAGTTTGGCTCGAAAAAAAGGTTGGAATAAATTTATTGGGAGGTTATCTATTAATTTTTTAAATTAAAATGGACAAAATATATTGATTTAAAAATTAACAATTTTATTATAATAGACCTAATTATAATAATATAATGATATTGCTGATCTAGACATTATTTTCCAAATAAAAATTCTGCTATCCTTTAAAATTACAATTAAAAAGGGTTAGACATTTTCAGCAAACTCCTATTCATGATCATGCCAGACAATATGCTATAATAATGCATTCATTGTAAATGAGGGGGTTTTTAATTAAATTTATGAGGTCTAAAGAAACAGGGATGTGAACCCTCCTTCCAAAAAAAATGATTTCGGGGTGGGTTAAAAATTCCCGATTTTGTGTTTTAAAAAAAAATAAGAGCTAACTGCACGTTAGTAGAAGTTACAATTGGCTAGAATATAAGATTGATAGAGGTTTTTGTATTTATTAATATTTTTTTTTAAAAAAAAATTCTTTACTAGAGTAAGCATGTTAATGGATTTTCCCATGGGAAGTAACTTATAACATTATTATATAAATTAATTATAAACAAGTTATTCTGTTATTTTTAATAAATTTTATTTTGTTATACTCCATATCACCCCTATAAGATTTTTGAGAGCGAGGGAATAATCACAAATTTTTGATATATTAAAAAAAATACCTTTAATATTCCAGTATAAAATAAAATTTAAAAAAAAATAGATTATAAAAAATAACCAAATTTCACAATTATAACATATGTAAAAAATACATTTTAATATCACAAATTCCCTTTTAAAATACAAAATAAGATGAAGTATAAAAAATTTAATGTTTAAGGAGAAATTATATAGACTTGATGGGTTGGTTGTGTTATATAATATTTATCATTTTCTAGGTGTAATGGGCATAACGATATCGATAAAATCTATATTCGTTCTTTGGTTCCACCTTATCAAAAATGTGAAATGTCCTTCCCTGCTATAAATATTATATTTAAAAAAAATATGAATAGGATATAAGAAATTGTTCTATTGGAATTGCTAAAAAAATAGGTTTTATAGAAATTTTAGGATCATGATAGAATTTTGAAAACTGGAAAGCAATAATGATAAAAGAAAAAATTCGCGATTTTGAGAATATTATAAATATTATCCTGTTTATTATACCTCTTGACCGGTCTAGTCTCATAGAATTTTAAAAAAAGATACTAAATTTTGCTATTTACTCTAATAGCATTTTGGGAAAAATTCTTTCCTTAGGTGGATACCATTGAAACGCAAAATGTAATATTGTCCGTGTCACTAGTAGAAATCAATTTTTAAAAATATTAGGCCCGGCCCGAACCCAATTATTTTAAATAAAATTAACGGGCTGG